TATATATTTTTGATCAGACGTAACTTTTTAAATTAACACAATTTCTCTTACATCAACCAATTTTTCTGTACAAAACAATTTGCACAAAATCTTTTCTTCATTTCCTTATCAGACAGACAGAATGATTCGTCCAGTACAGAGAAAGGACAAAACAATTGTTTACCGTGCTTTCCTTACACTAAAACAAAGTGCTGACGTCTAAAGTTATAGTCAGAAAATAATTCTGTCTTCAAACCAGAAGACATCTGTTCTGATCAGTCCGGACCATTGCATGACTAGTTGCTGTATCGTCTGCCATCTTAAATCGGCCTATACTCCAAGAACAACACGTCTGTTTCAGTATCAGCATTCAACGGAACTCCCCTCTGGCTAGCTAGGCAGACAACGGAATCTCGACAGTGTACTATATATCCCTGATCGATGGCCAACACAGATTCCAGAAGATGACAAATTATTAGCCTATTTAAAGGTAAACGTCTAATGCAATGGGCTGTTGTAATATAGTTAATTCCAAGTGATTTCCACTTATTTTTCCACAATTTATTAATTAATAAAGAAACAAACAGACTTTTTGATATCAGTGCTAGCTCGCAACAAAGTATGCGAAGATGAAATTTCAAAATGTGCGAGTATTTTCAGTATTAGTGAGTGTGTGGTTGGCTGAATAGTTAATTATCTACATGTAAAAGATATCCCCGATTTTATTATTATTTTTTTATTTATTTGTCCTTTTCTTGAAATTTTATTTATTAACTGAGTATATAACCTGTCATGCAAGATGCACAATAATTGAAATGATAATTATGTCATAATGTGAGTTAGTTGTTTTTAACATGCAAGATATGTCATCTTGCAAAATAAATGTGTTGACATGCAAATCATTTATGTGATCATGCAGGATAATTATGCTGACATGCGACTTATATATGTCAACATGCAAGATAATTGCTTGCACATGCAATTCATTTCTTTGTCAATATTCTTGATGTGCAAGTTAATTATGCAATAATGCTAGATAGATATATTGAAGTAACTTGAAATATCTCTTGATTGTGAACATAAATAAACAGCATATCAACATCTGACATAAACATCTTGGATGTTAACAGAAGAAAAGTGATATTGTCCTAAAATCATTTTTGATTATATGTCAAATCAATCCTGCTGTTAAAAGAAAGAAATATTGAATATTCGCAGCGAGATAAACTTATACACTTAAGTTAAGATATATCGTGCTCAAAGTTCCAAATTTCAGCATAGCAATGCCTCAAGTACTGGAAAATGTCATTGCCCTAACATATCAATTCTCACCCAATAAAGCAGTAAACGATATGCACCTGTAAAAGGGCTTTGAACCTTTTAATATCTAGTACATTTTTTAAATTAGTGCTTATTAAAAGTAGATTTGAACATTCTCTCTTCTCCATGCGTTCACAAAACGTCAGGGGTCCTGAGTCAACACGTTTTCGTTTAACGTCAAACGTTCCTTGCGGGAAGACCTACTCCACTACAGAGTCACCCTCCCCCCTACCACCCCACCCGAGTTTATCATCCCCTTCTTACCTTTACGTGTACTAAAATCGCTTAATCTCCGTATAGATTATTCAGTTACAAAACCTTTACAGCGGTACATTTTCGCCTCGACTTTCTCTGAAAATGGACCATATGATTTGGATCAGATCGTTTGTTCATCCGAATAGCTGTTATTCTGTCATTGTGAAACACTTTAGTTTCCCAACTAAGCCTTTAAAGAACTGATATCTTGCAATGAAAATCTATCATAAGTTAGTATGTGGCTTGAAAAAGTACAGGTCGTTCTAGTGGTTTTTGAATCCTAGGCACTACTTTTGTATCACTTCCTTAAAAAATCTATGTAGTTTTCCAACAATCTTTCGGATTGGTATTTACCAACAACTGCCTACGACACATCTGTAAAGTGACATGGCCAATTAAAAATATCCAACGAATAACTACTGAAGCGTAGAACCAACGGCCCTCAAGATCAAGAAACGAGCATGACAATGGATTGGTCATACATGGAGAAAACCCCAAAATAACATCACTAGACGGGCGTTGGACTGGAATCCAGAAGGTCAAAGAAAGCAAGGGTGACCATTACACAGTTGGAGGAGAAACATTGGAAAGAACCGCCTAAAACAGTAAAAAAAAAAAGAACCGCCTAAAACAGAGTAAGGCAGAGAACGACTGTAGTTGCCCTATGCTCCACAAGGAACGAAGAGGACTAAATAAGGAAGTAAGACAGGTTGTACACGGAGGGTGTGACCAATGGGCAGGGGATGCTCACTCCTCTACTGCACTTGATCCACCTCTGGATGTTTCAGAGGTCCATGTTTGCTCTGCTCCAAAATCTGCATTGTTTAATGGGCCTTTGAGCTTGAAAACGTTCCGTTATTTCCGTTTTTAATTTGCAAAAAGAAAACGAACGTTTATCATTTGAGCTAGGTGGGGAAATCATAAGTTTAAACTATATATAGGTACAATTCACAACAAACATGTTAGCCAGGCTGACTTCGATCCCGGTGCCTTGATGCTTAAAATATGAGATAAGCATCTTTCTAACTGTACTACAAGACAATTTTCTACTTTTTGAATTGGTTTATTATAGTTAGTAAAATTTCAAGGAAACATTTCTAAATCGTTACAACAGTCGGTGTTGATGGTTGGGGGGCGAGTGGGTTAAGTCTGATTAAAATCAAATCTTCCAGTAGCTCCTATATTTTGATGGTTGCTTAAAAGGTCCTTCCACCTGACCATCAAAATCAAGGAGTTGGTTGAAAGTTTGATTTTAATCAGACTGGAGTGGGTTATTGTTACAGGGGAATACATCTTCCTTGTGGAAAGAGAGCTATATATTTTTAAAAAATGCAGCAGAAAATCTGCATGTACATATTGACGGAAGGATCAGTTGGAAAATGAGTAAATCTGAATTTCAATACGGTTTTTATCATGTTAGAAGCAGAAAGACTTCGGAGAGAAAAGGAACGATTCAATATCTGTAGTGTTGGGGAGAAGGACACGGTTTAACACATGCTTGAATTATAGGTTTATAATAACAGAAATCACAACTGTTCTCTTACTTTACATATTCCGATCATTTGCTGCACATATCCAGCATTTTTGTGCAAAATGACCTAATCCAACCGAAGAAGAGTTATTATATCATAAACAAATATTCACATCACATACACTGTAACTGTTGACTAAAACAAACATAAATATTAGTTTAAGAATCTAAATTAAACGTGATACATGTACTAACATCTATGTCAAGATCATTAAAAAAAACTTTGTTTGCTAAAGAAGAAAGTTGTACCTAATTAACTGCTTCGTACATATAGTTTGTCTGGGAATTACGTATATGTTTAGCATCTATACCCGAAAGATCTGGCTCCAAATTGTTCATGCGTTTATGCTTCGAGTGTTGTTATGCCTGTATACCGACAAATTAGCGTTGTCGGTTGCCTAATGATGTACTTTGCAATAAAAGATAAAAGAGTTTGATATCAATTTAAAATTAAAATAGAATTATGGAATCCAGGTTATTTGATCAATAATAGCTCATCAAAGCGAGCGACTCTTGTTATGGCCAAATGTCCCGAAGAAAATCTATTTTTGGTACTTCGTTTTCCTTGGAGTTAATCACCCAAAAGAGAGCTTCAGCAATGCATATGTCCAAAACATTATTAGATTAAACAATGAAATGTATATAATTGACTGTGCATTAAGGAGACTCAAATTTTTGTTGTATAAGTTTAAAAATTTACCAAGTTTAACGAATTTACTGGGGCCAAAGTTTAGAGAGCATATGAAACAAATTCTTCTTCTAAAAGTTTTAAAATACAATCACATGCCCCATGAATCATGTTTGCTTTCTTTTTGTTCCGTCCGTCTGTCCATTTCTTGTTTGCATAGAAAAGCATGCATCGGGCCATTTTGCAGAAAACTACACCGTTTGTAACCATTAATAACGATTTATTTAGTGCTTTACACATGTCATAAATGCATTTACTCCAAAAGTGCATTTACGGTCTGCACTCTTTTAATGCAGTTTCGTAGACTGTTTTTGTCGTTGAAAGCGAATCAAAATCACAGAAGAATAATTGAGAGAATATAGTCTGCTTTTGACTTAATAAGTGACCAATGCAGATTGAGAGACCAGGGTTTTCAGCTGGAAGTCGGAAACGTCAGAAACAGAGGCCGTGAAATGTCAGTCCAGCACTGCCTGAAGACTGGTTCCGTAATTGAGGTTTTTTTCCTGGATTTGAGATTATAAATCAGCCAAGCTCTGACGGTTGCTCTGGGACTCTGTTTCAATCAAAGATACTGTGGATAATAATGATTGAAAATCTCACTATTTGTCAATATACTGCAAGCAGGCCGAAATGCGGATGAACATATTTCAGTGATGAGCTGTCCAGTTGATAATTCAATTAATCATAAGATGGAGAAAAGTCACATTCATGCTACATGAAGCTCATTCAATCCTCTGTCCTCGCCAACAACAAAACAGATTTAGCTCAGATTAGCCAATTTCGTTTTCGTTGTCGAAGTAAATGCCAATTTGAAGGGAGAAAAACGTTGTGGATATATTAATGAAAAATATTTCAAAGAGAAATATTTTTCCATTAAAACCCTTTCTCTTTAGACTTACGTAATTTTTAATAGCTCTGAAAAATAATTGTGCCATACATCTTAAACAATGAAAGAAATAGTTTTCATTAAGGAATTGTTAGAATTTGTAGATGTATGTCCTCTAAAGTTTGTTTTAGATCGTTAATTCTCGATTTATCTGATCTTTTTCAGTTATTTTCTGAACAATCTAAGGTGTTAGATCTGAAAAAAAAGAGTATATAGACTTGCTGAAATCAGTTTGTGCTCTTTTAAATTTTTTGATTCTTCTTCAAAATGGACGAACAAATTCCATTGAAAGACTTGGTCCAATCAAATCAGACACCGTTTATACCATAAAAAAATCCAACTCTATGAAACAAGTTTTAATTAAAATGGAAATCAACGGTTCTTAAATCAAAACAGTCTTTCCAAAGCTCCAACGTTCAAACATAACAAGGTTAGAATTTACATCACAGAAGGTAAACAAAGACTAAAATCAGTCCTATCACAAGTCCCAAAACTCCGCAAGCGCAGTAAATAGTTCCTCTGTCTGCTTTTTTGCCAACTCGTTCCAGTTCTCGGATTTCTCTATCTAGTCTGTTCATGTGTTCTTCACTCTGGAAAAAAAGGTAGAAAGTGAAAGGAATATTCGTACTAAAAATTGTCCTTTACTGAAACTATACTGCACAAAAAGGCCCGAAAAACAGCAAAATTATTAAGATAAACATCGAAGACAAAATTCTCAAGCCATTATACATGTATCACAATCCCTTTTTTTAAACTGGGCCATGATGAAAAATGAGATTGTGGTCAGTTATGTATTTACACAAGTTATACGTTTATGGCGTTGTTAATTTTTAATTTAATGCATGGTGGAGGCAAAATTGGTTTGTTTTTTTGTCTGTTGTTTAATGTCCCTCTCGAGAATTTTTCACATTTATGGAGACGCCACCATGCACTTGCCGGTGGAGAGCTGCAAAATTTGTCCTATTGTCTTTCCACAAATTTTATTTAAAAATAAACTTTGAAGTAGTCATAACAACAAATTTTATTTTTAAATAAAATTTGTGGAAAGACACTATACTCGGCTCTCATGGCCATCGAGCAGTGAGGGTTTTTTTCCCCACACCTTCTGCACACGACACGGGGACAGTCTCATCCGAATTCGAAGGACCTTAATATTGGTGATGTTATAAATTTTGCATTAGCTCTACGTAGATACTAAGTAGCTTAAAATTTACAATCATTATATGTTGATTAATGGATGACTCGATTTTTTTTATTTCTTTATATTTTTTTTACATACATTCTACCGGAAATACAATCGATGTAATTGAATGAATCTTCGTAAAAGCACTGATCAGTACAGCTGCACTGTTTGCATTCATCAAACAAGTACAGCAACAACTCATATTATTTCCCCGAGGAAAAATTATACTTCATTTGAATGAAACACGAAATATCTTTTAAACACCTAATTGCTTCTTATCCAGAATTTTCCACACATTTCCTTCTGATAATAAAAACAAAATTATGCATGATATTAACATTGTTTTGCGTAAAACTATCAAATGAAGGATTATTCAATAGATATTAACGAATCAATGTTTGGCATTCTGCTTCATGTTTATAAAATGTGGTTGCACTTCACTATTTGTAAGATGAAACATATGGAGATAGCATACCAGCCCAAAACTCCATAAAACAATAAAAAGAACAGGAGCAGAGCAAAAACGGACTTCTCAGAAAATCAGAGGTGGGATCAGGTGCCATGGAGGAGTGAGAATCCCCTGCCGACCCTTCACTCCGTTTGCTACTTGTCATGATCGGGAAATAACGACAAGCAATGGAATTTTTTGACAGTCTTTAGATTTAAATAACTTTACATCAGACTTGTAAATACTATCTAAAATTTCCAGGAAAAAGGCTTAAGTTAGGAAGGAGTTCCAGGTCCTTATTTTGCGATATTGTCAGAATGTATTTCAGACTTATATTTGATTTTTTCACCGTTTTTAACTATTCTTGTAGAAATTTGATGACAGAATTTATAAAAAATTATCATGGCAGTAAATCGTGATCAAGAAAAAAATATATCATGGTACAAAATAACTCTAAATTAAAGCTGACTGAATTTATTTTTTAAGGAAAACACACTCAACGATACTGTAAATATTTGAAATAGAAAACGAACATTTTCTTCTTTTAAAAAAACCGCTTCCACAACAAAATACAGTTTTTCGTTGTTCTTTTAATAATCATAATTAATTAATAAGACTAGAAATCCAGGCAATAATTTAATTTATTAGAAGAGAGTCTCCAACAAGTCCAGAATGGTTTCCGGTTGACAATGATATTTCTGAAAATTTTCTTATCAAGTCTCATGCAGATAATTAAGGCAATTCAATTTGACATGAATTCTCATTTGACCATGACCGTGGTTGTAGTTTTTAATTGTATTCTTCTCTCTCTACTACTATGTTTACATCTTTTCCAATTTAATCTTTGAGGAGGCATTCTACTAATTGGTAGACACTACATGCCTTGTCTCCAGAAATCGCTCCCTACGTAGTCATAGCGTCTTTATAATTAGTAAAATCATTGATATCAAACATTTCACATTGCTTGTTAAGGTATCACTATGGAGCTTCATTTTCTGACACTGCATATATTTTTTTGTAAAAAAAAATTAGGAACAAGCATAATTAAATGTGGAATTATTCATGCTCATGATATGTTTTTTAGAAATAATTTCAATGCCAGAGAACGAAAAAGAGAAATTCAATATCGAAAAATACAGATACAAACAAAAGCGAGACCTGTATGTGTTCCTTGGGGGCCCATCAAAACTAACATAACCTGTTATTTTACCTGGACATCAATTATTATAAAAATATGAAGGTCAGTATCTAATGCTACCTGGTAACAGTGTGTACAAATTAAATTAATTATTCAAATCTTTATTCATTTTTTCCTTTTTGTGTACGTAAAAATTATCACACTGTTGCTAGAAAAAAACCGCATCTGATAATAAATTTCCGCATATCGTGCATTTTTAATAAGTAAAATCTTTATGTATTTTCCGCGTGACATTTAAAAGTTTATAAATTACTAAATAGTTATATTAAACTGGACATTTTTAAATATCACAATTATTGATACATTTTCCTTAATGAAATTCACAACAGCTTGTGCTGCTATGATATTTCTCATCACGAGGCATGGGCATACCTTTATAAGCTGGTACTTAAATGGGTATATTAGGTTACCATAAAAAGGCTTTCTTGCCGTCTCGTCAACCAAATAAATCTTATTGTTCTTAATCCACGTGCTTACTAGAACCTATCCATTCAGATAAAAAACCTAATTAGAAACCTACACGGGGAGTCGTTCCGTCTCCGAACCCCCCTAAATACCCCGTAAAAGTGGGATCATATATTGATTTACCACATACCCACATTCACCCCGAGATAAAATAAGCATGAAAGCATGTAACAAATCAAAATTAGTCAGAAAGATTTTACAAGCCCCAAAGGAAGATTTAATGCTTTAACCTGGACTTGTTTACTTAGTATTATGTGTCCTAATGTTTCTGATCAATATGGAGTGTCTGTATTACAAAGCTCTTATCATGACATGGAGGATCAGTTCTTATGCTGATGCAACCATGCATGTAGATTTTGTATATCAGAACTAACTATTAAAAAATAAAATAAAACTCTCTTTGCTCCCGTATTTAAAAATTCGAGGGCATAAATCTTTGCTCTGTCCGTCCGTCTGCCTTTCTCTATCATGTTCACAAACAAACTTTAAACCTTATCCATAACTTTTGATCTGTCTGATTTAGGGATTTCATATTTGCATGTGTATACTTTGTGACAGTTCTTCGGATGCTTTCATACCCCTTGGCCTTGACCTTGTGACTTGAAGAATCCATTGGCCTTGACCTTGTGGTTTGAAGAACTTAACAGTGGGGACACTGTGGTCCCATGAATTTTTATTTAAATTGTCATAATGATTTTACGCATTCAACGACTTTGAAGTAATTGTACACTTGCATTTAATACCACATGAAATATCATACCGCATTAAATATAAATATCATGTCCATTTAAACAATACAAATCAGGAGCAGAGCAAACATAGACTTCTCAGCACATCAGAGGTAGGATCAGGTGATATGGACAAGTAAAAATCCCCATCTTGACCAGTCACCGCCGTGTGCTCTTTGTCATGATAAGGATAATAAAAAAAATCCGTTGACAATTCTGTGTGTAAATAATGGCCAAAGAATAAGTATGAAAAACATTAGTCGGAATTCGACTTAATGACATTTTATTTGCTGATAAGGTTGTTGTATAGTCCATAACTTGCAAAATGACGACTTTAACAAGACTGTTGATATTCTTGTTACACCAACTTGTTTGTTAATAGCTTGCCTGGTGTTAGAAATTGCTCGTGGGTACAGCATGCTCTTGCGTATCGAATCAACTGGGAGGCATAAACTCCAAATGCAGGTGATGTTTTTTTCTACATAGGTGAGGAAAATTAACGATTAAAAAGTTAAAGTCATCACGATTATCACAAAATTTCGTGTTATGTTTTCATTAACATCTTTTTCTGGTATAATATCCGAATAAGAAACAAAATAATGTGTCAGACTATGTGGAACTTTTTTCAAGTTTTACTTTGATACATCGAGTCACATATGAATGAAAGTAATTATTGTTAATTGTTAATACATCGTCGATACATCTTAATATCGAGTTGAAGGCCAAAGCAAAATGTTTTCTTTTCTTAGAGGTCTGCTTGTACTCATGGGAATTCCAATGAATTGTTGGAAGATCTGGTCTCCAAAAACTACATCGATATTGTCAATCAGAAACTCAAGCATCTTTTTAATGTCAACTTCTGAACGCTTGTGTGTACAATTATAATATTTTTAAGAATTAAATAATTCTGCAAATGACCATTGACAAAGGAAGCAAATTTACAAGTTCCATTCTTATTTTTTTAAAGCTGACAATGATGTCGTTTAAAAAAATAGACTTTAATTTATGTGGTGAATGTTGAATAATGTTTAAAAGTCATACGTTTTGAATTCATTAATTTTGTTAAAATTTTGTGATTTTATATTTTTAAAAGTTTCTGAAAGTTTCATAGTATCCACATCTGATATACAAAACTTCTCGAATATATCTTTGTACAGTACTTCTGAAGTTTATCTATGATACGAGTAATTACCCGAGTACTCGACTACATTGTTTCTGTGAAACACATTGCAAACTCTGTTCTATAAGATAATACGTTTCATTTAAATATTTTTCGTAGAATATACATTACCAGTATCTTATAGAAAGCCCTAACGTTACCTATAGGCTATAGGTACATTTTTTAAGGAAATTACAGAAAATTTTTTTTATTAGAATTACAAGGTATAGATGAGAGAGAAACTATTTAACAAGCATCAGTCTATATATACTCCATTCTTTCTACTGCAGAAAATGAATGGACAGCCATTGTCTTTTCTCTTTTGCAATAAGACCTTTCCCTACGCAGTAATGTTTTTTCTATCATCTTAAGATATTGAATTACATTTTGAAGTCCCCTCTTAAAAAGTGTTCATTAGCTGGGAGATAAATAGGCCGTTTCGTTAATTCATGTACAATTTGATCAATAGCATATATGTACGGGCGCTCTGATTATCAAATAATATACAATACAATAGGGAAAAACCGTGCTTATAATCTAATTTGCATGCAATGAGATTTTATTGCTGCTCTAAATAGCAATGTTATTCTACATTCTCAGAAGATACCTTAGCTTTTAGGAAGACGAACATTAGTGATGCAAGAATGAATCAATCGGCTAAACAAAAGCCGAACTCAAAGACATTGATTTGTAAACAATTGCATTTGCATCTTTTCTTTCAACAAATACTACATCGCCCTTTGTTTACATTTAAAGGCTACTTCTTCTTTCATCAAGGATCTAAAAATGGCAAGAGAGGCCTTGATCGAATACAAGTGTTTTGGCATATACAATTTGCATCACTCCACAATCAAGCTCTAAGCTATCGATGCTCCTGGAATTCCCATGTTGTTAAAATCATTAGTTTATTGGACATTAAATGCATACATGTACTTCCTTTGTAAAGTTAACTCAAACAGAAACGGCAGATATTTAAAATAGGAAGGCACTGAGGCCTTGGAAATAATGGAATTTTTAAATTAATATTTTCTACAATGTTCATTCAGACAAAATCCCCATGCTGCTCTGGGTTGTTGCGTCATTTTGAATCTTGATCACGGGGGCGTTTCCGAGAATCAGACTTTATCAGTCACATGGTCAATAAGACTGGACAGCTTCTGGTATCGGAAATTACGTCACGTCAAGGAATCAAAATGATTCACAAGATTAGTCAGAATAATTAGTACAATGTATCTTTAATCAATAAAAATGTAATTGGGAGAGGGGTTGTGAATTACTTCAGTATCTCTCTCTCTCTCGTGTTCGTCTTTTCTTAGACGATTGTGTATAATTACATTAATTTTAATTTCTTCTTTTTAATATAGTGCAAAGTACATTCCCATTTTTCTATCATCATTTTGTTTTCCTCCTTCAACATCTGACAAATTTCAAGTTTCGTCACCCTTTATAAAAGTCCTCAGCGCATTATTTTCTGACGCATGCTTATAACGGACAATTTAATGTAAACTTTGAGTAAGCTTATTTCAGTACAAGTTTATCTTTTAAAAAGATTGGTGAGCTAGCGCCGTAGCAATTTTTAAACAAAGAAAGGAGGATCCGTGATCAAGAGATTAATTTTGCTGAATTTTTTAATTTTTATCGAGGCTGAAGAGTGATAAAGTTATAATTGTTTTGTGAAGTGTATTTTATAGACACATAGGTAAAGAAACGTCATTTTGTTTATGACCTTTACTGGAGAGGGGGAGACTTATAAAATATGGAGAAGATGCTGATTGAGGCATTGTATTAGCTAGTTTAAGAATAGAATTTCTCAAAGTGTACGTTGTATAAAGAAATCCAGAAAGATGTGAAGTAGCTTGGTCCCTTGGGTCATCTTTGTCAAGAAATGTTAGGTTAAAAGCCATACACATCAGAATTTTTTTTTTTAAATAATGAATTTATTCGTTATTTTTAGTGTAAATTCTTATTTCTGGAATTTATAAGATTGGCTGAATTGACCAGACAGTAAGAAATTAGAGTCTGTCTTTGGTTGTGCTTAGACGTAAAAAAAAAAAAACCCTTGTCTTAGTTTAGAACAATCAGAAAATGACTCGGGCTTTTCCGTCAGAAAAAAGGAAAATTTGAAGTATTACAAATATGTAGTTATCTTTAAAGTGTAAGCTACACAATAAATAAACTTAGTTATTTAATGCTACTGTACAACATGATACAACGGAATTGTTATCGTATGGTCTACTATAGAAGTTTTCCCAGAATGCACGACCGTGAAGCTGAGCATGCGTATCCAGGGAATTTGGACTAACGTAGTTGCTAGCGCTCGAGAGCGCTAACAACAAACTGTCCTAAAAACTGCTAAAATGCTATTCAATCTCTTCCTTTTCTGAAAGCCTTTGTCAAAACTAATCATACTCTACCCATGAAACACTGAATTGCTAGTATGTTAAAGTGACAAACTTGGCTAGACAGCTGGATGAAGCAATATCTCGTTCACAGTCGTCAACTATGCTGGGAAGATAGGAAGTGACGTAATTTAATCATTTTACAAAATCTAAATTAGGAAACAACTTGATAACGTTCCGGTCTATCGTCACAGCTTTCCGATGCTAAACATGGTCTGAATTTATCTTTTACGTGTTATTAAGACAGATATATAATCGATTGGGGGAAGGCTATCACAGACCAAGTGTAAAACGATTTCATTTTGTCAGAAGACTGCCGCCCCCAAGTTGTTTCAGCAATCCTATCATCTCCTTTATCACGAATGAGAAAATAATAAAGCTTAAGTTTTCCCCCAGTGTAGCAATCAATTCTTTGCTACTTTTCCATACATTTTGATTATCAGATACTTTCATCTGAATGAAAATGAAAGCAGTGTTAGAATATATTCTTTTTTTTTAAATGAATACTATTCAAGTGTAGCTGCATCCAAAGATACGTGTACTACCTTAATTTAAGAGTTCATTGAAGTTGCAGAGAATGTAACATTAAAAACCTATCCTTCAGCTATATATTTCTTGCCAAAACTGTATCTCCATAATGGTTGCCAAATTATTTTTCAATTGATTAAAATACTGATACTTTATTTATAAAGATGAATTGTTAGCATTATACAAATGCTATCACACTTACCAGAGTGGTGGGGAAGTTATTAATGCTGTTAGAGCTGCCACCGGACGCCACTGTGTGGTAGCTTCCTATGGTGTCGCTGTATCTCACCGTTTTCTTCCCGCTGTCTCTTTTGTGCTTGGCGTCATTGTAACCACTTGGCCCTGGTTGTGGTGAAATAGACCGTGACGAAAACCCGGATAAAGGACGACCCTTATTCCAAATATTGCAAGGTTTTACAGACAAACTAGATTCAGAATCTGTCACACTTGTCTCGTGAATCACGTGTGAGTGTCTCTCCAAACTACTTGGTAAACTGACCGTTTGGTCCACAAAGTCGTCTGGCACTTTGTGCCTCGTTTTTTGCCATCTAACGCTTTGACTTTGTTTTACAGAACAGTTTGACTCTGAACCACTAGGGCTTTGATGAGACAGAAATGGTTGTTTCTCTGAAGTCCCATCTTCCTCGTGATATGAAGATATAAGCGTTCCATTGCACACAATCCGGGGTCGCAAATCTATGTTTATGACTTCCGGTTCTGTTTCATCTAGATAGCTGCTGTTGTTTAAAAGTAAATCCGACCCCGACAACGTTTCCGTTTTGATGTCCCCACAATCGGTCGGATATCCATAACCATTTTCATTAGTTTCAGTTGCTTGCTCATGTAAATCGTCAATTGAATGTGTGTTCCTTGAGGTTGAAAACTCGGTTTCTAAATTTCCATTTGGAAGATTTCCATTCACTTTAATATGACCAGGCGGTCCTCCATTGCACATGTGATTCTTGTCTTTCCTGTGTATGTTGGCAATGGCAGGGTGAACACATAGACTATTTGACTGTTCGCCGGACCCGTTTATATAGTGTCCTTTGTCACTTTGGCGTCTTTTTTCGCGAGCTATTTGGCAACAACTACCGAACTCATCTTCTTGTCTGACCTGAGATTGCCCGTGAAGAAGCGGGTCGCTATTCCTATGGTAAAACAACGATGCAGGTAACCTCACATCCGAACAATTTTTGGGAGTAAAAATCACTGGAAATCCATTTAACCCATCTTTTTGAAACGGTAATAATTCCAGAGATTTTGAAGTGTTGTTATTTTCTGTTGTTGTTTTCTTTTGCAACAACTTGACGGCATCCATACACGAATATGCTATGGGTTGAGTACCTGCAATACAACAAAACAATCAATTTTGGCTGAATTACATGGCACCAAAACACCTTCTGCCGATTCACTATTCATTTAATGGGTGATTATCCAAGCCCTATCTGCATAATACGTTCTCACCTCATTTTACTTCACGCAGCTATTTCTAAAATCGAAACATACAGAAGGATGGGGAAAGCCTAGTCTTTTTACCATAGAGAGAATGTGTCTTATCAGTTCTTGACGTTTGTCAGTCATAATTGCTTCGTGCCATACATAAAATCTTCAGCTGTACCAAACATGAAATAACCAAGGCATGCGTTGGTTCTTATATTCCATCTCAAGGGGCTTTTGATAGCTTTGTGCTATAACAACTATTCAAAATTTCTTCAAGGAAATTCGTTCTACGAGATCTCTTACCGAGGTGCTTGTGCGAAAAGATTATCCCCATTGGGGCCTATGACAGACCTAATCAATTCACTGTATTTATATAAGGGTAGTTGGCCATATCTTTTGAAAAGTAGATACCAGGACATTAATACTTCATATATGTTTTCTTTGTGGAAAGACTTTTCATTGGATATTAACAAACTTGACCTTTTCACCCTGACCTTCGAGATTCCATACTTATGAAAAAACTTTAACCTTGGCCATGACTTTTGAATGGTGAGGGATATATAGTGCTTTCATACTTCACATATGTAATCCTTGTAAGAAGACCCTACATTGGATACTAAGAACTTTGAACCTTTGACCTTGGAGTTTGACCTACTTTTATAAAGCAAATTTTGACCATAACTTTTAAAGGTTAAGGGTTAGTGCTTTCATACTTTATAAATTTAATCCTTATGACAAGGCCTTTCATTTTATAGCAAGACATTTGACCTTGGAGTTTGGCCTATTTTAAAAAAAAATTATCCTTTGTCATAACCTTTGAAGGGTTAGGGCTTCATACTTCACATATGTATTCTTTGTGGAAAGACCTTTTATTC